AGCCGAAACACTGCGCCCTTGTGGCGCGGTGGAAATACGTTAAACGAAATCAGAACTCACACACAACTGGCTGCATGACGACCACGAACGGCTTAAGACACGTAAGTGCAGTCACGTTGCGTCGAAAAGCAGTCGAGGGCGATAATGTTTGCCATGGGTACGAGCTCCCATGGTCGTCAAATTCGATGCCAATGCGTGCTAAACATTTAGAGCCACTGCGCAGGTGTCAGTTGCTCAGGAACCGATGAAAGCCACTATCTAGCGCTCCTGTCCGCGGATCGGCACAGTCAACGACACATTACGGTGATGGGATGGCTGCTCTGGCAACGAGTGCGCATCGGCCACACAGCAAGGGACAGATGAACCGCCCCCCTGCTTGCAAAGGGAGCCGCTTTGGCTGTTCCGCTCTCCTGATTCCAGGGTCCCATATCCCGTCAGAGAGAAGATGAGGGGGCGAGGGTACGAGCTCCTCAACACACGTCCCAGGCCCCGAGAGCATTCAAGCCCACCCACGACGCTTTCAAAGTGTACCAAATGGCATTCGGAACGCCCCAGGAGAGCTCCGGCACGAGGAAGAGGATCCAAAGTACTCTAGAGCCCTAAAAGACACCAGCAACGCCCAAAGAGGTCCGAGCAGGGAGCCATATATCAACACATGACTATCGACAGCAGTAGCCAGTGTGGACACCAAATAATGTGTGTTCAGGCAGGATGTGTTGTGCAACCCAGGTGGAGCAACCCACAACGACGACGACGGATGACAACGGAACACGACGTCGACAACGGAAGGACGGACTGACGGACGGACGGACGGACGGACAGACGGACGACGACGACGACGACGATGAAGGACGACGACGACGACGACGACGACGACGACGACGGCCGATAAAAATGACGACGACGACGATGACGACGACGACGACGGACGACGACGACGACGACGGGAAGACGAAGACGGACGGCCACGGAAAACCACGACGACGGAAACGACGGAAGACGACGGACGACGACCACGGACAACGACGACGACGACGTCGACGACATCGACGGCGACGACGGCAGATGACGACGGACAACAACGACGTCGACGAGACGACGACGACGAAGACAACTACGACGACGACGTCGCACGACGACGGGTAAGGACGACGACGACGCACGAGCACGGCGCCGCAGACGCCGACGACAACGACGACGACGGACGACGACGACGACGGCGACGACGACGATAACGACGACGGACGACAAAAGCAACGACGACGACGACAGACAACGACGACGACGACGACGACGACGACGACGACGGACGACGACGACGATGACGACGACAGACGACAGCAACAACGACGATGACGACCGACGACGACGACGACGGACAACGACGACGACGACGGACGACGACGAGGGACGACGACGACCACGACGACGACGACGGCGACGACGACGGACTGCGACGACGATGACGACGACGATAACGACGACGACGACGACAACGACGACGGCGGACTGCGACGACGGTGACGACGACGACGGACGACGGACGACGGACGACGACGACGACGGACGACGGACGACGGACGACGGACGACGGACGACGACGACGGACGACGACGACGACGGCGACGATGACGACGACTGACGACGACCATAAAGACGACGACGACGACGACGACGGACGCCCGAGTGATGTGATGAATGGAATTCGGCGGCGAAACGGGTTGGACGTCAAAGGGGGCGGGCCTCTCCACAAGGCTCGGAAGGCCTCGGGCCCTGTGAGGAGTTTATTGGGCACAGAGAACTTCTCGGAAGGCGCGAGGGCTTCTGAGAAGCCCCGCGGCCTTCTGAGAAGGCCTGCCCCCTCTCACGTTCCTCCCAGGCGCGCCGCCGAGTAATGTTTGCAACCTTCGAAATGGGTCTTGCAGGACCCTGCGAAACCAGAAAGTGGCCTCGCTCGTGGAGCACCCTGAGTCCAAACGTCTACGTATATGACATATATCACAGCTCAAGGAGAGCACTGGAAATCCGAAGGTGGAACACCAGCGCATACAGTCGTAGGGACACGCGTGTGTGTGTGTGTGAGTGTGTGTGCTTGTGTATGCGTGTGCTTCTTAGTTGGTTTATGTGTGCATGTGTTTGTTAGTGCGCGCGGTTGCGTGCGTGTGTGTTTTCGTGTGTATGTGTGTTTGTGTGTATGTCTGTCTGGTTGTGTGGCTGTGTGTGTCTGTGTGTCGGTGTGTCTGTGTGTGTGGTTGTGTGTCTGTGTCTGCGTGTCTGTGTGTCTGTGTTTGCGTGTCTGCGTGTTCATGTGCCTGTGTGTCTGGATGTCTTTGTCAGTGTGTCTGTAGGTATAGGTGCATGTGTGTCTGCGAGTCGGTGTGCCTGTGTGCCTATGTGTCTGTGTGTCTGTGTCTGTGTGTCTGTGTGTGTGTGTGTGTGTGTGTCTGTGAGTCTGAGTGTCTGTGTGTCCGTGTGTCTGTGTGCCTGTGTCTGTGTGCCTGTGTGTCTGTGTGTCTGTGTGTCTGTGTGTCTGTGTGCCTGTGTGCCTGTGTGTCTGTGTGCCTGTGTGTCTGCGTGTCTGTGTGTGTCTGTCTGTGGTTTGTGCGTCCGTGTGTCTGTGTGTCTTCTTGCCGGCGTGTCTGTTTATATGTGTGTCTGTGTGTGTCTGCTTGTCTGTCTGAGTGTGGTGTTGTGTGTGTGGTGCGTGGTGTGCGTGTGTGATGTGTGTGTGTGTGTGTGTGTGTGCGTGTCTGCGTGCGGGCGTGCGTGCGAGCGTGCGTACGTGCGAGCGTGCGCGCGTGCGCGCGCGCGAGTGCGTGCGTGCGTGCGCGCGCGCGTGCGTGCGTGCGTGCGTGAGTGCGCGCGCGGGCGTGTGCGTGTGTGTTTGTGTGTCTGTGTGTGTGTGTGTCTGTGTGTGTCCGTGTGCTTGTGTGTGTCTGTGTGTTTTGCTGTGTGTGCGTGCGTGCGCGTGTGTGTGTGTGTGTGTGTGTGCGTGTGTGTGTGTCTGTACGTGTGTGCAGTGTGTATAAGAGTGTGAGTGTGAGTGTGAGTGTGCGTGTGAGTGTATGCGTGCGAGTGTGAGTGTGGATGTGAGTGTGTGTCTGCGTGTGTGTGTGTCTCTGTGTGTGCGTGTGCGTGTGGGTGTGCGTGTGCGTGTGCGTGTGCGTGTGGGTGTGCGTGTGCGTGTGGGTGTGCGTCTGTGCCTGTGTCTGTGTCTGTCTGTGTCTGTGTCTTTGTCTGTGTGTCTGTCTGTGTCTGCGTCTGTGTCGTCTGTGTCGTCTGCGCCTGTGTCTGTGGCAGTGGCAGTGTCGGTGTCTGTGTCAGTGTCTGTGTCTGTGTCTGTGGCTGTGGCTGTGGCTGTGGCTGGGTCTGTGGCTGTGTCTGTGTCTGTGTCTGGGTCTGGGTCTGTGGCTGTGTCTGTGTCTGTGTCCGTTACTGTGTCTGTGGCTGCGTCTGTGTCTGAGCCTGTGTGTCTGTGTGTTTGTGTGTATGTGTGGTCTGAGTGTCTGTGTGTCTGTGTCTCTGTGTGTATGTGTCTGTGTGTCTGCGTGTCTGCGTGTCCGTTGGTCTGCGTGTCTGTGTGTCCGTGTGCGGGTGTGGCCGTGTCTCTGTGTCTCTGTGTCTCTGTGTCCCTGTATCTCTGTGCCTCTGTGTCTCTGCGTCTGTGTCTGTGTGTCTGTGCGTCTGTGTGTCTGTGTGTCTGTGTGTCTGTGTGCCTGTGTGTCTGTGTGCCTGTGTGTCTGTGTGTCTGTGTGTCTGTGTGTCTGTGTGTTTGTGTGTCTGTGTGCCTGTGTGTCCGTGTGTCTGTGTGTCTGTGTGTCTGTGTGTCTGTGGGTCTGTGGGTCTGTGTGTCTATGTGCCTCTGTGCCTCTGTGCCTGTGTGCCTGTGTGTCTGTGCGCCTGTGTGCCTGTGTGCCTGTGTCTCTGTGTCTCTGTGTGTCTGTGTGTCTGTGTGTTTGTGTGTCTGTGTGTCAGTGTGTCTGTGTGTCTGTGTGTCGGTGTGGCTGTGCGCTTGTGTCTGTGTCTGTGTGTCTGTGTGTTTGTGTGTCTGTGTGCCTTGTGTGTCCGTGTGTCTGTGTGTCTGTGTGTCTGTGTGTCTGTGTGTATGTGTGTCTGTGTGTCTGTGTGCCTGTGTGTCTGTGTGCGTGTGTGCATGTGTGCCTGTGTGCCCGTGTGTCTGTGTGTCTGTGTGTCTGTGTGTCTGTGTGTCAGTGTGTGTGTATGTGGGTCTGTGTCTGTGTGCCTCTGTGCCTATGTGCCTGCGTGCCTGTGTGTCTGTGTGTCTGTGTGTATGTGTGTTTGTGTGTCGGTGTGTATGTGTGTCTGTGTGCCTGTGTGTCTGTGTGTCTGTGTGTCTGCGTGCCTGCTTGTGTGCCTGTGTCTGTGTGTCTGTGTGTCTGTGTGTCTGTGTGTCTGTGTGCGTGTTGACGCGGGGCCTATAAAGGCTAAAAAAGAGCCCGCCAAGGACCCAGGCCCCACTGAGGGGCCAGAGCCTCAAGGGGCCATCCCAAGACAGGGGGCGGGCCACAAGGGATCCCGAGAGCCCAGACGAGCCGAAGAGGGCAACCACCAAGGCACATCGGCCCCGAGGCACCGCTCGGCGAGTCAGCTCAGACCCCCGTCGAGGGGCATCAGCGCAAAGCGCTGGGATAAATACAAACGCGCAGGCACACGACGGGCGACGCCCCGAACATGCTTGCACAGCCCCGAGCGGCGCGACGGGGCGGGCGAGGCGCGGGAAGCTTCACGCCCACGCGCAGAGGCCCGCGGCCACCAGGGATCCAAAGAGGACAGGAGGACGGGAGACGGACGCATAGGGAAGGACAGGAGGAGAGGCAGGCTGGCGCTCCAACGCCAGGAGTGTCCAAGGCTCGGCGGGCGCACGCGAGATCGCGCGCATCGAGCGCCCCAAGGCTGGGGCCAGCGCGGACTCAATCACCTCCATATCCGTCATCTCTGCGTCGCTTCCTGCTCTGGCGCTCGAGTCGGGCCTCCTCGGCCTCCTCGGACCAGCTCGGCAGGCTCTCCTCGTCGAGGCTGTAAGCATCCAGCCAAGCCTTCCGCGAGCCCTCCCCCGCCACGGAGCCTCCAGCCGCAGCGGGCTCCTCAGCCGACGAGGAGGTAGCGCAACCTGCGCCGCTCCCAGCAGCGTCGACCGCCGAGGCGCTGCTCGCGACGCCTGCTGGTGCGATAGGCTGAACACCAAGCCACGTCAGGAAGCGCCCTCTCGCGTCCTGCGGCACCTCAGCCCCCTTGCGAAGACGAGGGGCATCCGCCCCCTTTCCTCCGCGTGTCGCGGGCGTGCGGCGCGCCTCCAGGGTGTAGGCCGCGCTCCCACCGCGACTTCTGGTCACGCAGCGACCTGGGGAGGCCAGTTGCCCCAGGACAGCGCTCCCTGAGCTTGGGCTGCGGGCCAGGGCGTCCGCCTAGCCTCGCATATGCTCCGCACCTGGTGCACGCGATGATCTCCTGCCCGTCGCCGTCCTCACCGCGCCTGGCGAACGCGAGGGCGCGGCCAGCGACGGCGAAGACCAGGGCGCCCAGCGCGACTCCGCCGTCGCGCGCAGCCGAGGCCCAGGCGCCAGCGGCGGCGGGGCGGCTGCCTGCCAGCTCCCCGCGGGCCTCAAAGGCGGCGGGCGCGGCGTCCGACTCGGATGCGGGAGCCGCCCCAGACCGTCAGCGCGCTCCTCCAGCGGGACCGCGAAGGTGACAGCCGTCCTTCGCTCGTCGCACACGGGGGGGCTCTCGCAGCCCTTGGAGCCCCTGCCCTGCCAGACGAACGAAACCTGCGCTAACCCCCTGGAGAGCCCGCGCACGACCTCCTTCGCGCCGAAGAACTCGCGCCTGGCCGCCCCGCTGGCCCTGTGGAGGGCCGCTCCCGCCTTCGCCAGCCTGTCGGCGTAGGCGCTCCCAAGCCTCTGACCCTCCGAGATCCTGCCCTCACGAAAAACGATCTCGGCGCAGTGGGCCTCAACCTTGTTCACAAAGAGCGAGTCGGCGTCTAGCGAGGCGTAGACGACCGACCACAGGTGAGCGCTGGGCTTGTTGGCCGCCGTCGCATACCTCCTGCCGAGCTTCAAGCAGCTGACTGTGGACCCACAGGCACAATTGATCCCGTTGAACGAAGGCCCGGGGTAGCGGCTCAACAGCCAAACCGCGAAGTGCTCACCGTCCTTGGCCGTCTGGAAAGGGCACAGGCCTAGGTGGACAGTGCCGTGCACCGCCGCTTGCGGGTTGCCGAACTCGTCGCACTGCACGATACTCCAGCCTGCCCTGCGGATGCACCCGAGCTCAGGGTCGAGCGCCGATCCGTCGAAGTAGAGGCGACCGCCTAGCAGCCCGTCAGCAGGCCTGTTCACCCACCTGTCTGCCAACGAATCCGACCTCCAGGCCGTCTTCTCCCTGCCGCTGAGCTTGCCGCGCGGGCCGCTGACCTGGCCGAGAGCGCCCCCGAAAAAAATGGCATGGCGGGGGCGGCGCCGTGCCGAAGCCGCGTCATCTCAGCCCTGTCGGAGGCCCTGCGAGCCCCTGCCGCAGCCAGCAGTCCGAGCTCGCGGGGGCCCAAGATCAGCATGTCCAAGGCGCGGCCGTCGTCGGTGTGCATGATGCGCCCAGCCGAGAGGCGCCAACCAGCCCGCAACCGAAACATGGCGGCGGTTGGGTCAGCGCGGCGCGAGGGCACCACCGAGGCCCCCGCCGAGCCCAGGGTTCTCAGCCGCCTGGCGCGGGAGCGGCCTCCCACAGCGCGGCCGCCTCCCTCTTGGACTCCCCTGCGGGTCACGTAGGCGTCGGTGCCCATTTTGCGGGCCTGCGGCCCACGCTTGACCTCGAAACCAGGGGCTGCCCAGCTGGCGGCAAGGCCGTCCGCCACCTGTGCCGACGAGGCCAGGAACACTGACTTGCCCTCATTGAGCGGGGGGTGGTGATCCCGAAGGTGTCGCAACATTTCCCCACTGGCCCCCACGTGCTGGTCGACCGGCAGCCTCGTCGAGCCGACAGCTTGGAGCGAGACGTCGCCCTCTAAGTTGCGCAGGGTGTCAAGAGGTCGCTGAGCCCCAGCTGCGAGGAGGCCTCCAAGCAGGGGTAGCTTAGCAGCAGCCGTCGCGCATGCGCAGCCCTCCAGCACTGCGCCACTGGCCCCAGAGGGGGGCCGACGCCACGCCTCCTGCCAGCGCGATCCTCGGGGGCAGGAAGATGGCGAGGAGGCCGCGCAGCAGCTTCAGGTTGAAGCCGAAGCGCAGGGCGGACGAACAAAGGACGTCGGGGCGCACGTGCCCAAATAACTTGCGGATGCCTAGGAACAGGCTGGCCTCCTCGACGGGCGGGGCGGCCTGCGCAAAGCCCGCGAAGCAGTTGTGGACCCAGTCCGCTCTTACGCAGCCACGGCCATCATAATCTCGAGGGCCCGGCTCGGGGGCGGGCTGCGGCCCGAGGCGAGCCTCGCCAATGCAGGCCTCCTGCGCCGTCAACCTCGTCCGCTGGTCACTTGGCACCTTGGCT